CGGGGAATAATAAATAGTCCAGTCTTTGAGCATAGAAAATAGACCCATGATCATAAATTCATGTTGCATGTATCCGGAACAAGTCCAAATTGGAGACATAATACTTGTGTTTGAACTAGTAAGCCCCTGAGCATATAGCTTGTCCTTATGTCGTAGTCACAATTGTCTATTGATGGTAGCTGACGCAGTTGGCATAGAGACAAGACGACCAATATAGAGATAATATTGCCCAGCAGAGGTGACAAAAATATTGATGGTAGTGAAGATAGTGATACCAATCAAAATTACTGAAGTCGCATAGCCATGGAGGCGAAGAAACCAGTCAGCGACAGACAGATCAAATGATGAAGATAACGATGTCGGTGATCCAGTCAATAGCAGTGTAGCAACCAATGATAATGACAAAGACGCTCATCAGCATTTGCATAGTAGGTCAACCGTGAAGGTGAAATAATAAGTCGGTGAAGACATAATCATCCATTAGCAACAGCGGAGATGTCAGGGCCGATGAAGCAAAGGTGCTGGTGATGATGTCAGTGACAATAATCCTTCAAATTAATGTTATAGCTGTTGTAGATGCTTCACTTGGAGTTGTTGAAGTAGATTGTCTGCTCCGAAGTAAAGATGAAGATAATGACTCCTGGAGTTGACTCGTTGGCTGATTAATTGATTGCTCCATCTTTGACATAAAGCTTGTCGAATTTTGAGCCATGTATTTGTGTAGCCCCCGACTCTTTGTTTAGTTGGGAAACAACTGAACATAGAGTCGAGAATTATAGCTTCTTATCGTCGAGTAGTCATTGCTTGATTGAAGATAAGTGTTGAAGATGTCCAAGTAGAAATCCATGATGACAAAGTTGCATTGCCATGATGAAGTGACAGAAGCAAACTGGTAGTGAAGACGCGCAATTGTGACGATAAAAGCGCCAGTCGGCGGCAGACGTAGACAGCTTGCGTTGAAGATGATGACGCATATTAGCGGTGACGGCGACGTAGCCAACCGTGAAGAAGATAGCATCAGTCGGCGTCATAACAGGCCAGCTATGCAGGCGGAAACACCAGTCGGCGGTGGACGAGGCGGCCGGTCGGTGAAGACGTAGACGCCCAACAACGGCGGCATAATAGGCCAGCCGTGCAGGCGGAAACACCAGTCGGCGGCAGCGAAGGCAAGCCGGTCGATGAAGACGTAGACGCCCAACAACGGCGGCATAATAGGCCAGCCGTGCAGGCGGAAACACCAGTCGGCGGCTGACGAGGCGGCCGGTCGGTGAAGACGTAGACGCCCAACAACGGCGGCATAATAGGCCAGCCGTGCAGGCGGAAACACCAGTCGGCGGCAGCGAAGGCAAGCCGGTCGGTGAAGACGTAGACGCCCAACAACGGCGGCATAATAGGCCAGCCGTGCAGGCGGAAACACCAGTCGGCGGCTGACGAGGCGGCCGGTCGGTGAAGACGTAGACGCCCAACAACGGCGGCATAATAGGCCAGCCGTGCAGGCGGAGACACCAGTCGGCGGCGACGAAGGCAAGCCGGTCGGTGAAGACGTAGACGCCCAACATCGGTGGTGTGACCAATCAACCGTATAGGCGAAGACACCAGTCGGCGGCGATGACGGCAAGCCGGTGGTGATGTTCTGACTGATCCATTCCTGGAGCGTAAGAGATAAGCTTAAAGCCATGAATCCGTCGCAAGCAATCAAGATAAATATTATGAAAATTGTTTAAAAAATACAATATAACATCTATAGCCCCCGACTCACTAGTCAACGGCGAACCAGTTGATGTAGTGAGGCGAAGGAAAAGACAAAATATCATATAAAGAATAAAATAAATGATGACTTAGCTTTGTAATATTCCCTCGGTGACAGCAAAAGTAGCCGATGTGGGAACGAAGCAGTCCATCAATGGTGACAAAAACACCAGTCGGCGCCAGTGGAACCAAGCCAGTGGTGTAGATGATGAAGCCCATTAACAGCGGCGAAGTCCGCCAACCGTATAGGCAAAAACACCAGTCGGCAGCGGCGAAGGCCAGCCGGTCGGCGAAGACGTGGACGCCCATGAACGGTGGTGTGACCAACCAACCGTATAGGCGAGGACACCAGTCGGCGGCGACGGAGGCAGGCCGGCGGTGAAGTCGTAGACGCCCAACAGCGGCGGCATAATAGGCTAGCCGTGTAGGCGGAGGCACCACTCGGCGGCAACGGAGGCAAGCCGGCGGTGAAGTCGTAGACGCCCAACAGCGGCGGCATAATAGGCCAGCCGTGTAGGCGGAGGCACCACTCGGCGGCGACGGAGGCAGGCCGGCGGTGAAGTCGTAGACGCCCAACAGCGGCGGCATAATAGGCCAGCCGTGTAGGCGGAGGCACCACTCGGCGGCAACGGAGGCAAGCCGGCGGTGAAGTCGTAGACGCCCAACAGCGGCGGCATAATAGGCCAGCCGTGTAGGCGGAGGCACCACTCGGCGGCAACGGAGGCAAGCCGGCGGTGAAGTCGTAGACGCCCAACAGCAGCGGCATAATAGGCCAGCCGTGTAGGCGGAGGCACCACTCGGCGGCGACGAAGGCAGGCCGGCGGTGAAGTCGTTGTTGTTATCAGCAATGGCGGTGGCGAAGACAAGCCGGCAAAGTGGACTCGCGGCCGATCGACCGGAAAGCTGAGACGCCTCGACTCCATGACCAGCATTAATCGCCTCAATAGTGCCGCGTAATTATATGCGAACAACAACAAAAAATAACAAGAGATTAATCTGAGATTAAAAATCAATATGATAAATAATGATAAAACTAGGCGTCCGGCGCTGGACGAGTAGTTAGCATGAGTAGATATAAAAAAATTGCTCAATGGAAAATATCACATAAAGAGGAAAAATAAAGGCACTTAGCTTTTTTCTCAGTGTCCTCCGTATATATGTGTTAATGGGTGGACAGGAGATCATATCGGCAGCTTGTGACAGACATGCAATACATGCATGAGTGCTGCACTTCCCTGTGTGAAAATTGCTCCTATTGATTGGCTCAGATTCCACGTCGACTCCAATTTAGATTAGTAATTGAATATCGCCAGGAGATTTGACATCATCAGATGATGGACTCGGCATGTCAAACGATCAAGTTGACGACTGACGTCCCGTCGGAATTTCCGGCGGCGGCGATGCAAGCCGAACTCCAGAAGAAAAGAACCGGTCCGAAGATGAAGGCGGTGCTGACGGCAGCCATAGGAGATTGAATCTGAAACTTGCCGCGGTAGATTGTTGTAATCCCTCGATTGAGTTTCCCCTTGACTGATTTGGATCAAGTCAGAGAAGAGGAGCTTGAAGAAGTGGTCGACGGAAAGGAAGTGAAAACTCCCGAAGCGAAAACGAAGTCGGCGACTCATGAAGTTAATTCCATCGCGCTCGTTGATAGGAAACTCGACGCAGCCCCTACCTGGCGCGCCAACTGTCGAAACATGAATTCGGCAATAATAAAACGGGATAGCGCACGAGACCTAAAAGTGGATGGATGCGGAGACAAAGGGTTTAGACAGGTTCAGGCCCTCTCGATGAGAGGTAATACCCTACTCCTGTTTGGGGATTTGAATCCGCCGGGTGTAGTATTGATCTGACGATCAGGTTGTGTCATGCCCCCTAGAGGGCCTCCTGCCCACCTTATATAGGGTGGGGGGCAGGATTACAAGATAGAAACCTTAACCAATACGGTATCGGTTTCCTAAATCTACTTTACAATATTATCAAACCAGGACTTTAGGCTGTTCCGTAATATATAAGGAAACGTAATACCCAAGTCATGATCTGTTACATATTCCATACATATAAGTTATCCCCTATAACTAGTCGGATAACCATGCCGTGTGGGTATGGGGTACCCATAATCTCCACACTGATGAAGCTGGTTCTTCCTGACGGATCGATCCCGTGAGCCAAACTTCCTGAGATGCAAGACGATCCAGTCCGTCGTCGGTGCGGTCATCGTCGCTATGGCGTGGACAACCATGACGTTGCTGAGCAGCTGCAGCGCGCCGCGCAGTCCTCAATGACGTACGGGCCTCTGCCGCTGCTCGCCTGCTCCTGCGGTCGCGGGTAGTTTGGGTCACACGACGGCGCCATTTCCGATTGCACGCGCGTACGCTTGGCTGCGGGCGGAGTCATGTGTCGTCAACTTCTACTTCTCCCCGCCGGTCGCCGCATGTCGATGACGTCCCGGCGCCACTCCCCTTCCGCCGGCCGCCACGCGCTGAAAATGAAAAATGAAGAAGTCATGCTAGAGTCCTCTCAGCATAAATGCACGTCCTCTCAGCGAGATCCATACAGATATTGCGTAGATAAGTCACGCATAAAGTATTAATCATATTTTATCATCTAACAATAATGAAAATACTAATTATAAAAAAATTTCATATAAGATGGACAGTCAAACGTTGGCACGAAAACCCACGGTTTGCCTTAAGTATGTTAGCTACTACAGTACTGGAGTAGTTCAGTGCTACAGTAGTTGTCCGTACTCTTTTCTCCATTTCTACAAATATTGTGCCTCTACGAATACTATGCTGCGCCAGTAGTACAGACTACTACTAGTACACATCGTAGCGGTATTCGGCAATTTACTGCACTGCCAGTCTGGCGCGAATTCGGAGCCTCGACGCAGGTCAAGACCCGATCGTGAACGTACCGGACCCGTTAAGCACAGGGTGCGGATAAGCGTGCGATGGTAGTAGGTGCAGACAAAGGATAGTGGAAGGCTCTGGAGGGCCGTCACATCAACCACCAATTATTGCAGGAGCACTCAAACAACATGAGCAGCAGCACAAGCACAACTACTACGCGATGCTTGCTTGGTGATTAGGACACCATTAATCTGACAACTGTCTCTTAATCAACTCTGGAGGAAATGATTGTCATTGCCACACCAAGGCAAAGCCACCGGAACAACGGATATAGTTAGAACTAGTACCAACTAACGGATAATACTAGAATCAAGCTGATGCTCGCACTAGCAATACATGGAAAACTGCAATCCAACAGCAACAAAAGCAGATGGCAATTGGTGGTGGAAGTTCTTACAGCGGTTTTACAAGGGTGGTCGACTGAACTTAAAAAGCCGAAGCAGTTTGTATCTCTAATAATTACTAACACCGGTTACACAAACAAGCGAAACTAAATTAATCAAGGTAGTACATACATACATACAACAAATCCCACCGGTTTGATTAACAACAGTAACGGTGATGATAATTTAAGCTGGAAACAACAAATCATGCACCTGGCTGACTGGCACCCCCCACCCTCTCTCACACACACTCCCTCACATGCAAACGATATGACCAAGTCCAACCAGGCCAGCAGCAGCAGAGCAGCCATGGCCATCTAAGCTCAGTTGCTGGGGTTGCTCCGGAAGGAGCCCAGCGCCTTGATGGCTGCCGCCCGGAGGATGTACTGGTGATACGCCGCCGCCGCCAGCGCTCCGATGAACGGCCCCGCCCAGAAGATCCACTGCAATTAAGCATATGCAGGCATAAGCACTTGGTGAAATGAACACAAGAACAGAGTGTTGCAGTGAGAGGTGAGCAGCTTACGTGGTCGTCCCATGCCTTCTTCTGGTTGTAGATGACGGCGGCGCCGATGCTCCGGGCAGGGTTGATGCCCGTGCCGGTGATGGGGATGGTGGCCAGGTGCACCATGAACACGGCGAACCCGATGGGCAGCGGCGCGAGCACCTACACAAACAAGCATGTAAGCTACGTAGTACTAGTAAAGCTGGCTAGCTGAGACGGACCCTGGAGAGTACAAAGGTGGCGTGGTGTGATTATAAAGATACGTACCGGGACGTGGGAGTCGCGGGCATTGCGCTTTGGGTCGGTGGCGGAGAAGACGGTGTAGACGAGGACGAAGGTGCCGATGATTTCGGCGCCGAGGGCGGTGCCGGTGGAGTAGCCGCTGGCCACCATGTTGGCGCCGCCGCCGTTGGCGTTGTACTGGTGCTTCATGATGCCCTTCACGATGCCCACGCCCACGATGCCGCCCAGGCACTGCGCCACGATGTACATCACCGCGCGAATCACCGACACCTTCCTCGCCAGCAGCAGCCCGAACGTCACCGCGGGGTTAATGTGCCCTCCTGCACGCCACGCATGGCCAAATTTAGCTCAACGTACGGCCATTGTTTCAAGCTATTTAGTAACAAAAGAAAACATTACTAGTACGGACCGGAGATGCCGGCGGTGCAGTAGACGAGGATGAAGATCATGCCACCGAAGGCCCAGGCGATGCCGAGGGTGCCGACGCCGCCGCACTGGTCGGCGGACGACTGCACCTTGTACCCAATGACGGTGGCGACGGTGATGTATAGGAACAGGAGCGTGGCGATGAACTCCGCAATGAGCGCCCGGTAGAAGGACCACAGCCGGAGCTCGCCGACGTCGAACAGCGGCGCCGGCGGCGGGTCGGTGTAGTCCTTGGGCCGCACGTGCTCCGGCTCCTCGCTCACCTCCTTCGACATTGCCGCTCCCTTCAGCAAGCTCAACACGCTACTCACTCTGAGCTAGCTTAGCTCTGCTCTCTCTTCTCTACCTCTCTCTTCTCTGATGGATGCGGAGAGGAGGGGAGCGTGGGACTGGCCGGTTTTATTGAGAGCGCGGTGCTGTCATTAATGGAAAAAAAACCGGCCCAGGTACAAGAGAAGAGAAGGAAAGGTGTGTGTGGGCTTGTGCCATCGAAGCACTTCTTGTCTTTACAACCTGGAGTAGATTAGCTTGCTTGCTGTTGCTGTTGCCGTTGCTTCTCCATGATTAGAAGCCAAACTTAGCACTTGATAATGATCATGTTAGTGATGAAGTCATGGATAAGTTTGTTGGTTCTATTTAAATGATTTTAGTGCTGGTATAACACAACATTAAATACTTGACAAAATTCTCTCTATGTGGAACATGCATGAAATATATTCCCAGTATGCATGCTTTGCGGCTGTAGTTGGTGAAGCTAAAGCAATGGGGGGTTTATAAGTCGAGGACAAGTATCATATCTTAATATAAAGTTATTCTCCACTAAATTCTTAAGCTTAACATGCAAAGATGCTATATCATCATCCACTAACAAGATGTCACATCATCATCCACTAATTAACAAGATGCCACATCATCATCTACTAACAACCATCACATTTAAACATCATGCAAACATGCCATATCTTTATAGTTTTTAAAACTTAAGAGCTTTTTCAAATATGAACATGTTAAATTATCATTCAACATAATTCACATAATGTTTTAATGTATATCTTTATTATGTTTTATGATATCATTTATACTTATATAGTTCATCCTCACTTAGTTAGTGCTTAAATGATTAATTTATGGTCCAAATTATCTTTCTCATTGTTTCCTCTAATTAAGTCATATCACATCAATTGTTTTTATCCTTTAGATGATTAATCTAAGGTCCAAACTATCTCCCTTCATTTCTTCTTCCATGAAGTCATACCACCTTACTTTTTACGTTTGAATCACCATTCTACATACTATTTAAATTTAAATTATTATAAACCACATTAATTTACTTAATCTGATGTTATCTAGCTATTTTACACATTATTTTTTTATTATTATCATACTAAATTCCCACAACAATGCGCGGGGTTTCACCTAGTGATGAACCCTGAGTTCCTCTCGACACTCAAGGCTGTTGTTGGCCCGATCTTTCGGTGAGTTGTGATAACTACGATTTGGGAGAAACGTTGATGATCCGACTACAACCGTACGAGACGTTGTGTTGCGCCTTAGCGATCGATACACCTCTCCGTGGGTTGCTGATCTTGCCGGTGCAGATCAACCCTATTCCTGCAAGCAAATCGAAGAAACAAGCAAGAACAAGATAAAAGCAATCTGATATTGCAAATAGGAATTTAATACAAATGATAAGTTGGGGTTCCGAAGAACAAGCAGACGGACGGTCTAGCCGACACGCGCGCTGCAAGCAAGTAGCAATGGCTAAACTTTAATCTAACAAAACCCCAGAAACCCTGAAGGGGTACCTAACTATTTATAGAGGTGGGAGGACGACCAAGAGGGTCCAAGGGTCGTGCTCCACCAGATTGGGGCGCACCCCACATGGGCCCCACATGGGCCAGGGTCCCAAACAAAGTTACAAGCCCATTGGCCCAATACAGGAGACGCAGCACCTTGCTTTTGTGATTGCGGCCAAACGAGATAGATTTCCGAGATGAGGCTGGATCCGTTGGAAGGAGGACTTCGAGAGCTTTCCATCAAGTACTCATGGGCCCAAAACGGAGCACGTATGTAGATTTGGCGGCCGTTTGAAGTCAGCAATGTAACACGTGGCCGAATCAGATTGCAGCACATGGAGGACTTGATCTTGATGTCTTCTTGTTGATTCATGATGTGAGCAATGGTCGTATCCATAGTAGCCATGGTCACATCATCCTCCCCTTCTTCACAGAAAACCGTCCTCGTTTTTTCCATATGGTGCTCTTCGCGCAGTCCACTGAAAACAACCTGTTTCTTGCAATCAAAACAAGACAAACTCGAGACAATATGACTAGCAGTAACATGTCTCTCTAGCTTGCATATTTTATCCGGAACTACAAGATGTTCTAAATCTGAACAAATGTAAACTCTATGTACCAAAAATATTCCTCTATCATTATATTCGCCAAAGATATGAAAAATAGCATTAGTTGGACATGGCAAATCAGATTTAGCAAATAATTTCTCCTTCAAATTATCGAGCTCACAAAAATCATCAAACTGAACATAGCCCAAAGTATTTAAAGAAGATAGCAATTCGCGTTCCTCTACTTCATTAGCAATGTGAACAACATGCTTAGAATCAGCACACAAAGAAATAGTAGAACTAACATGTTCATTCACTAGTTGTGGCATGGATATAAGTGAAACATTATCACACAACTCTTCTTTATCACAAGGAACAGCAAGTAAATCAACTTGTGACAAAGGCAACTCAGTAATTGATTCCACTAATGGTTGCTCTACTATAGCATGAAAAGTGGACAAGTGTAGCTCACCTTGAGAATACTCACCTTCATTTCTCTCAGCACCATTTAATTTACCTTGCGAACTTTCTTCAGATAATGTAGCTGCATCAGCCTTCTCCTCATTCGCGAGTGATGGAAGTGACATCTCAAACATATCGTTCTTCTCATTTTGGAGACTTTTCTGAACTTCCTGCAAAACATTAGTGATAGGAGGCACAAGCATATCTTGTTGCTCCATTGGATTCTCCAAAATTTTGCGCTCAACAATGCAAGCAAGCATGAACAATTGGCCTATATGATTATATGTCACATTAACAAGCCCAGCCTGAATATTGAAATTAAGCCCTCTGAAAAATCTAGTCATTGTGTTCTCATTAGATTCTTGTAAACCACTATAAGTGATACAAATTTTAAAATCATAAAAGTACTCCCTAACAGTTTTGTCACCTTGTTTTAGATGTTCCCATTTCTCAAGGAGAGCACGTCTATAGTATGAAAACACAAATCTTTTTCTCATCAGTATTTTGCATTCATCCCAAGTTTCAAGCTTATTCCCCACAGTATGCCACCAAAAAGATGCAGAACCGGTACACTTATTACTAGCAGCCTTAATCATTTGAGCATTAGAAAAATCATACTCATCAAATTGTTTTTCTACTGCTAGCTCCCAATTAATGTATGCAGCGGAATCATACTTTCCATCATAGACTGGTAACTTACATGCAACTTGTGCAAAATTATAGTCATGTACCTCATATGCATCACGTGAAGAAGTCGTCATATCTCGTCGAAGGTGTAGATGTTGACGTTGAGCATGACCATCTTGTTTCCCCTTGCGCAATCCTGCCATGGTTAGCAGCAAACAAGAAACATACACAAGAATATACACGCTCCTATCAACTACTAGGTACTGGCAGCTCAAATCTCACACACTCAAGCTTTTAACCAAGCTCTTACAAGATCTTACCAATGCAAGTGGAATGGTGACATACACCGACTCAACCAAGCACCCCAATGAAGGTTGGATGTATCAATGCCTTGGCAAACACTTGCGGTACGGCTGTAATCAAATATGTGGAGCTCTAGGTAGGCTTAAATATGTAGCAAAGGAATAGCAAATGCTCAAATCAGATAATGCAAAGTTGAATAATTGTTCAAAGTCGAGTACCGTGCTGGTCCTAGGCTAGAACGTACTAGAGACGCGAGCCTAGACACAAACGATACCACAAGATAGCACTAGGAACAACTCATGCACAACTCTGATATATGAAGTTCAGCTCAAACATAACAGTATTTTCTCTTTTCTTTCTTTCTTCTTTCTTCTTTTCTTTTTTTTTTCTTTCCTTTTCTTATCTGTATATTTTTGGTGCGGCTTTTTTATACTTTTTTTTTGCACCTTTCTGCCTTTTTTTATCACTTTTTATTTGATTTTTTTTAACAAAAACTGACTCAAGGCCCTTAATGTAAGATTACAGGGACTCAAACATAAATATAAAATTTACAGGGACTCAAATGTAAAAGTCTAAACCCAAAATTAAAATTATACAAAAAATGGAATGCTGAATTTATGCCGGTTCCGTTTTTCCAAACAGATCTCGAAACCGACACCAAACAAAAATTCGCCAAGGTGTTTGACACAACTCGGAACCGTGGAAGAGAGGGAGGGAGTCGGACTCGGCCAAAGGGGCGAGTGGGACTTGGCCAGGAGGTGGAGTGGATGGCAGCCGAATTTGGTGTATGGGATAAAAAGGAAACTGATTTTTAACCAATCCAATCTACTGTATCTTTCCAAAACAATCTTGACTACTTCCAAAATCAGATATGGTAATTCACCTTCCTCCTCTCGTGCACGACACAGGCACGGCCAAAACAAACACACACAAGGATCGGCAAACTCTAGATGCAACTCAAGAACTCCAAAACTAACCGACAGAAACTTCTGAAAACTACAAAAATAGAACCGTGGCAGCGAGCCGATTCCGTTTTCGTAGGTCCCGACAACAACAGAGACACGGTGGCAGCAACGACTGTGGTACAAAACGTGACCAGAACTCGAAACTCTAAACGAACTAGACGCTAAGACCAGCAACACGACGTGACGATGCAACACAAAATTCAACAAAGCAAAAACTGAAAAGAACAATGCAATGGCACAATATGGCTAGGTAAATGATACGAATTTTTTTGTATGGCTATTTTCTGGTTATAGGAAGATAAAAACTCACCGAGCAACGAAAGCTCTGATACCACCTGATGAACCCTGAGTTCCTCTCGACACTCAAGGCTGTTGTTGGCCCGATCTTTCGGTGAGTTGTGATAACTACGATTTGGGAGAAACGTTGATGATCCGACTACAACCGTACGAGACGTTGTGTTGCGCCTTAGCGATCGATACACCTCTCCGTGGGTTGCTGATCTTGCCGGTGCAGATCAACCCTATTCCTGCAAGCAAATCGAAGAAACAAGCAAGAACAAGATAAAAGCAATCTGATATTGCAAATAGGAATTTAATACAAATGATAAGTTGGGGTTCCGAAGAACAAGCAGACGGACGGTCTAGCCGACACGCGCGCTGCAAGCAAGTAGCAATGGCTAAACTTTAATCTAACAAAACCCCAGAAACCCTGAAGGGGTACCTAACTATTTATAGAGGTGGGAGGACGACCA